TCCCCTATTCCCAATTCCTTCGCCTCCGCCGCATCTGCTCCCAGGATGAGGCATTCCACTCCCGTACATCTCAGTTGTCCTCGTTTTTCAAGGACCGTAACTTCCCCCCCTCGGTGGTCGAGAACGCCCTCAACCGTGTCTCCCACATCTCCCACACCTCATCCCTCACACCCCGTCCACGCAATAAGAACCAAAAAAGAATCCCCCTCGTCCTCATGTACCACCCCACCCCACCGGATCCAACGCATCATCCTCCACAGTTCCGCCATCTGCAATCCGACCCCACCACCAAAGACATCTTTCCCTCCCCACCCTTATCTGCTTTCCGGAGGGACAACTCTCTCCGTGACTCCCTTGTCCGCTCCACACTCCCCTCCAGCTCCACCACACCCGGCACTTTTCCCTGCAACCGCAGGAAGTGCTACACCTGCCCCCATACCTTCTCCCTCACCCCCATCCCAGGCCCCAAGAAGACTTTCCACATCAAGCAGATGTTCACCTGCACATCTGCCAATGTGGTATACTGCATCCGCTGTACCCGGTGTGGCTTCCTCTACATCGGGGAAACCAAGCGGAGGCTTGGGGACCGCTTTGCAGAACACCTACGCTCGGTTCGCAATAAACAACTGCACCTCCCAGTCGCGAACCATTTCAACTCCCCCTCCCATTCCTCAGATGACATGTCCATCCTGGGCCTCCTGCAGTGCCACAACGATGCCACCCGAAGGTTGCAGGAACAGCAACTCATATTCCGCTTGGGAACCCTGCAGCCCAATGGTATCAATGTGGATTTCACAAGTTTCAAAATCTTCGCTCCCCCTACCGCATCCCAAAACCAGTCCAGCTCGTCCCTGCCTCCCTAACCTGTTCTTCCTCCCACCTATCCCCTCCTCCCACCTCAAGCTGCACCTCCATCTCCTACCGACTAACCTCATCCCGCCCCCTTGACCTGTCCGTCCTCCCTGGACTGACCTATCCCCTTCCTAACTCCCCACCTACACTCACCTTTACTGGCTCCATCCCCGCCTCTTCGACCTGTTAGTTTCCTCTCCACCTATCCTCTCCTCTATCCATCTTCTATCTGCCTCCCACTCTCTCCCTATTTATTTCAGAACCCCCTTCCCCTCCCCCTTTTCTGATGAAGGGTCTAGGCCTGAAACGTCAGCCTCTCTGCTCCTATGATGCTGCTTGGCCTGCTGTGTTCATCCAGCCCTGCACCTTGTTGTTTCAGGCTTCCAGTCAGGCAGATTTCAGACAAAGTCATACAACTTCCTTCATTTTGCCCTAAATTTAAAGTTACAGTCACCATATAATAATCCTATAACTTTCATAACTGTAACAAACTTTATGCAAACTTACTTGAGTTAATTGTACATCATGACATTATCTGTATAACACAAGCATCATGGAACATATTGAGGTTATTTTTGATGTATACAGGAATCTGCTAACCACAATCATTCTCTGGTGGATTAATGCCATTCAGTAATTGTCTTAACCTGAATATATTTGGAGTCTGTGTTAACGTTCAATCACTTAGGACTCTGATGGCACTGGCAGTGTCCCTACCTCTGGGTCAGAAGGTCCAAGTTCAAGTATCACCACCTGCTCCAGATAAATGTCATAACATCTAAGCAAGTTGATTTAAAAACTGTCTTAATCTAATCCTAATCACTAATTTATTGACCTACAAGTGAGTTGTTTGTGCACTGAGTTGGGTTTGGCTGATTTCAAAGGTTTGAAAGTTGGGCCAATTCTGTAAAAATGTGATCTGTTGGACAAGACTACATTCCAGGTGATGAAAGTGATAATTACTTCATTATCATTTCACTTCTTTGTGACTTTATCATAATGGAAGTCATGCACCTCTAATTACTTTCCTCCCTAAAACAAAAATTAGATTTGCCAATAATTTTGTTGTGATGACCAGGTGCCTTTAAAGTCCTGCATGATGTGATTGCTCCAAAGTTCATCTTTGGAATTCATGGTGTCTTAATCTATTCTGAGATACAACTTTTTAGATTGTGATAATTTACACAATTCAGAAAAATGAAACTAAATAGTATCTGCATTACTTTCTTTCACAGGAACAATAAGACCATTGGGAATGGATATGTACAATAGAGAGAAATACGTACTCAATGGCAGGGGTAATTTATTTTTAGAATATATTATTTTGAAGCTTAATGAGCAGTTGATTTGAAATATAAGAACACTCGACTTTTGTTTTATATAATTACTGTGGTGGTTCAGCATTAGTGTTCTGGCAAAATGAATTTTCACAAGTAATACTGCAGAGAGAAATCATGAAAATAATTTTTGAGAGCATACATTTTAGGAATATGAATACATTATGTAAATTAATGTAAGTTTACACCTCCATTCTTTTAAGGGTTTAGCTCAACAACAATGACGTCAGTATTAATGTCTGTATAGCATTTTGAATTTTCACTTCCTTTCAGAGTGCTAAAGTGTTTTAATATGAAGTGAGATTACCTGGGAGAGATCATCACCGACTCTTTCATATTCCATCAAAAAACCTGGTGCTTGATTTGATCATTGTCTGATTGTAAATGTATGTGCTACCTGCGGTGATCTGCCTAATTCCATTTCATATGGCTGGTGAAAAATGTGTTACATGACCAGTTCAACTGTAATTCTTGTAAGAGTGTAAAAAAGATTTAAAGGGGTTTACATTAAAGATTTTGCAGATACATTAAATTTTTAATTTAGTGTATTTTCCTTGCATTGCTGATAATTTTGGAATCATTTTGGAATAATGATGATTGTTATGTTTAAAATATTGTGCACCTTGCCTTAATTACTTTAGAATGTAAAATGTTTAACAAAGTTAAATTGTAACTTACTTACTCATATAAAAATGAATGAAGTAACCAGGGTGAATTTGGAGCCACTTTTCCCTGGTGCTTTTGAAAGAGAACATTGATTCACTACATTATATGTGTATTAAATGCAGCGTGAGTCACACTGGATTTCTGTAGAAATGTCAATTTCTTTGATGGTTACTCTACACCTCTGCATCAAAAAACAGGCATAGATGTGACTAGCTGATTTTTTTTCCTTCATTGATCCAACTCGTATACAAATAGTTGACCCTTTTATGTCCATGTTTGCGGTAAAGTGGTTCTGGTTCCATTAATTAAACATAGACTTTTTTATCCATTTATAGTATGAGTATTGCTAGCAAGGCCAGCATTTAGTCCATTGGGCTTGAACTTCAAAACTACTGTTTCTTTTCTTGACCCTACTTTATAATACATTAATTTAAGACACTCAATGATCTAATCTAACACTTGGTCTAAAATCCATAATAAAATGTGTGTCGTTGATTGTTGCATCTATTTTCAGGTCCTGTGTTTTTTCTGGCTTGTTTTAGTATGGCAGCAGGATTGGCTTTCCTGCTGTATTATTGTAAAGAAGGTAAGAGTGCATAATTAATAAAGGAAGTGATGAATTAAACTAGTTTTATAATTCATATCTGCCCCAGGCAAACATAAAATATTCTCCTTTTATTAATAGGTTGACACAGATGGTAGAAGCACAGGAAGCGTGAATAGATTTTTGCAGTGCAGCATCCTATAGTTTAGAAACTCTAATTATATGAGTGTGACTAAACCTCGCCTGCCCCCCCCCCCCACCCAACACCACCCCACATCACCCCACATCACCTTAATAAAAACTAAGGATTATTTTGCATTTATGTGTTATGAAGGAAACTCCTAGTTTCATAACAATGTACAAAGCAATTGTTATGGAGACTTATTTTTAAAATCAAACATTAGTGTCCATTATTTGTTTGATCAAAACCGGACATATCATATCAGAGATAGTAAGAACTACCAATGCTGGAGTCAGGGATAACACAGTGTGGAGCTGGAGGAATACAGCAGGCCAGGCGTTTCTGAAGAAGGGCCCCGACGCAAAATGTCAACTTTCCTGCTCCTCTGATGGACCTATCTTATGTTGATGCAGATTCAATTGGAATCCGAAGATGTTTGCTTTTAAACTTATGTCCATTGAAATATCAAATTTGATTAATGTATGTATTTCCATTGCCACTAAATGGCAATAAATCTCATTACAAATGTGATCCATAATGCCCCATATGCGAGAACAGCTTGCAATTTATAGAGCTCCTTACCTACTGAAAGATATCATGGAGCATTCTATAGAGGAAGTAGGAAGGGGACGAAGGGAATAGAAAAAGACTATTTTTCTATTTTGAGGGGTGGAACAGAAAGAATGGTCAAAAGAAGTGTATGTTGATAGTTTTTCATAGCAATAATGGATTTGGCAAGTTTGAAAAATTCAAGAGGGAATTCTAAAGCAAAGCAACAATACAGCTAAATGATTAACCACGAGTGATGGAGCTGAGGGAGCAGTAGTTGAAAAGAAGATGACCCATTGAGGAGCAGTCGTATGTGTATGCTGAATTGTACAACTTCAGCACATTGCTGAGGTAAGGTGGGGTGAGTCCATGGAGGTTTATGGAAAGGGGATCAAAGATCTTTATCTACATGCTCGGGGTGCATTTCCAGAACTTGGTGAATGAGTTGCAATTTGTGGTGATTGGAGACGAATGAATAGAATATTCAACTAGGCAAACCATATGGTGATAATTAGGATTTTGGAGCAATGGGAAAATGTTTTAAATGTTGCAAAGGCAAAATTAAATTGTTAGAGTAACAGATGTGGAGCAGGAAACAAATAGTCATTTGTGATTCAATGTTTTACTGTCATTTTATAAGTTGTGATCAGAAGAGGATCAATGGCTGTGTTCTCTTATAACCTCTATTTTAGTTGCTGCTGTTTAAACATCAGAAATAGGGCAGGAGGGTACCATCACTGCCCCTTAAATCTACTCTGCCATTTAGTACAATCATGGCTGACCTTGAGTCTCAATGCCATTTTTCAATATGCTCCCTACACCCTTCTTTTCTCTAATAGACTAAAAATCTTTCCATCACTGCCATAAAATCAAGGCTAACATTCCAATGTAGTGCTGTGAGTACTGTCATTTTTCAGCTGAAGCCACCAAACCAAAGTCCAACTGCTGCCTGTGATTGAAGCAAAAGATCCCTTGGTACTATTTTACAGTGCATCCGGGGGGGGGTGATCTCCTGTGTATTGACCAATATTTATCCCTCAATCGACATCACAAAAACAAACTATTTGCTCATTATCACATTGCTGTTTGGGCTGTGCGCAAATTGACTGCTAAGTTTCCCACATTACAAAAGTGAGTATTCTTCAAAAATACTCATTTTCTGAAGAAGGGTCCCAACCCAAAACGTCAACTTTCCTGTTCCTCTGATGCTGCCTGGCCTGCTGTGTTTCTTCAGCTCCACACTGTGTTATCATTGGCTGCGAAATGCTTTGGGACATCCAATAGTCATTAAAAGTGCTAAATAAATGGAAGACAGTCCTTTTGTTTTAAATATATATTCAATGATATAGCATCTAGAACTCTCCAGGATAGCGAATTCCAAAGATTCACAACTATTTGAGTGAAGAAGTAACTTCTTGTCTCAGTCCTAAATGATTGATGTCTCATCCTGACACTGTACTCCAAGTTCCTGATTTCCCAGCCAGTGAATCAGCCTCTTAGTGTCAAGCACCTGCTCAAAGTGTTGCATAACATTTAAAGGATAGGAAAGCTACTTGATGAAGTTTCTTCTCCTAACACTAGGTCAAATCTGGATATTAAACAAAAAGAATAGTAAAAATGACAGACAGTTTAATCTATATAATGGAGAGAGCCAAGCCTTCAAATTGAGTTAAAATGTGAAAAATATATTTCATTAGGTTATGTGAACTAAGTTTATTCAATCAATTATTTAGCTACATCATATAGTTCAACTCAAGTCAAAAATTATTGACCTTAAGGTGATTTGACAATAGAAATTTTTGTGTTAATAGGTATAATGCACCCAGATCTTAATCAGCTGAAGGTATTCAGAATTAAACATTAATTTGGTACATAAAAAAATGTCTTTCTGTAATTTATCTCATGACTACTTATGAACTGACTGTAGATCAGTTTCTGCTGGTCCTGTCTAATGACTTACAAAAAAAAGCAAAGATTATTTATTACTAAGTCACAAAATGAACTTTAACGTTAGCACACAGACTAGCTATTTCCATATTTCAGATTGATCTTGTATAGTGATGTATTTTCAATTCTATCTGCAGATATTAAATTTGAAAGTGCTGCTAAGAAGATCATAGGTTTCTCTTCTCTTGGTGTTGGAAGACGAGCTAGAAGGTACTTGTTAGCATACATTGAAGACCAGTCAAAGAGGAACTAAAGAAAGGGCAGCAGTTCAGCAACTAGCCTGCCTGCCTTATCAACAAATGACGGAGAATACATATACTTTTTTTTAAAAGGATGGTTCTTCTATCAAAACCAAAGACAGCCATATTTATCTATTTGTATTCCAAGTAAGTATGCTTCCCGGAAATATTACTACTTCCTTTTAACAATGATTGGCCGTAGACCTGCAATAGGGTATTGATATAATCTGGAATATCAAGAAAAGCATGTAGAATTTATTTTCTCTTCCCTCACGATGCTGGCAGCTAATATGCAAAAACAGGGATTCAGCTATCCATCCTATTTTACTGGAAATACTGTAATTGTAAGCTTTGAGACAACCATATTTGTAAAAAATATTGATACTCAGGAGAAAAAGAATTGGAGATTCATAAATTTGTAGTGAATGTTATATCTTACTGAACACTCATGGAATTGTTCTAGATTAATTGAAAACTGCAGGTATACCCAGATTGCAAGTGAACTGTCAGGACTATATAAAGCAACAATAGTGGCTGTACGATACTGTCTGCTTGCATAGTAACGGGTAAAATTAAGACAGCAGAGCCACATATAAACCTAAAAAATAGCTGAAGTTACTTCCTATTGCTGTAACTTTTTTTACTGTCAGAAAATGTTAATTCATTGGAAAAGATGAAAGCCTTTTGTATCACCTGTGTATTTTTTAACAAATGAAAATGACCAAATTCACAGTTGTTGGTTTCTCACAGCCGTACTGTAACTGCAGTGTGGGGTAACTACTTGATATATGCTTCCATCAATGCTGCCAAAGATTGTTAAGCTGCACTTTTAGCAGAAGGGGAAAAAAAAGCTGGCACTTTGCTCATGATTGAATGCTGTATGCTTATAGCATTAGGTAGTCTAATATCATGGTGAAGAGATGCAAAACAATCACCATATAAATGCAGCTAGAGAGGCCTTCATTGAATGCCTGATGAATGGGATTAAATATAAATGTACATACAAATTAGGAGCAAAAATAATAATAAATGCCATTTAGATTTTAGTCTGTGAAGTCTGGCAAAGTGACACTGGCCTATCCATGCAGTATCTGGCTTGATTTTGTGCCTGGTACATCCATTCACCACCATCAACTTGAACCTGGGTAGAAATAAATAGTTTAAAAGAGGCATTTTTCTAACTATTAGAACATATCTGACCAAATGATACTTGATTCATTGTTAAGTCCCTGTTCATAACTAAACCTCATCTGATACTGCTACAGTCTGGTTCTAACTCCTTGTAGGCTTCCAGCATTGTGTCTCCTCATGGCAGGTACTGCATCCACTGGCATTCTACAATGAATTGTTTATAAAATGCTGTATTGCAGAATAGCTGGTTTACAACTATCTTTTTTTTAACCATCAGTTTCCAGTTTACCAGCACTGTGAATTTTGGCATTGCTGAAAAAAGATTACAGGTTTATTATTACAAAACTGAAAGATGCTGGTGCTTTACTGCTGAAAAAATATTGTTGATTGTTTTTGTAAGTGAAAGACTGGGAGCCACTAGATATTCCATCTGTCTGATGTTTTTCATTAAACCATTTCCCTCATTATTTGAACAAAGGATACAGGCCAGGAAACAAAAAAATTGAGATTTACATTTTCAATTATTTGAGCAGCTAACATATTCCCTTATTAACAAATAATATAGTATTTAAAATTGCAGATGAAAATCTCATGTTCCTGCAATTAAATACAAGATACTTAGATTTTGACTTCTCAGCAGTAGTCATGTAATTAGTGCTCTAAACGTATCAAATGTTAAGCATTCTCAGGGCAGAATCATAACTTGTTCTCAAATAAAACAACCTAATTTTAAAAGATGACAGAGTTGAAAATATTTCCTTTGTGGTCCCAGTAATTTCATGTAAGTGCTACACAGGTAGGAACTTGTAAAGCTTGTTTGGAAAATCAAGAGTTTTGAATTGACCAACATCCTGTTTAAGATGTGGTTACACTATAGTTTCACTCTGAGCTGTAAGGTTTAAGAATTTTTGGTTCTTGGTCTTTGTGATTTCAGGGAATTTATGTTGTACTCCAGATCATTTTGAGAAAAGGAGATATGCTGTTGTCAGGTACTTCATCAGACTGATATTTCTCATGGAGCACAGTTCTTGACTTGAATAAGAGTTACATATCAGGAAGCAGAAAGAATGAGACCTAAATATTAAGTATTTGCTATCCTGATGCATAATTATTTCTTACGATATGTGGGTTAACATGTTTAATGTTGAAGTTGGTTTCCTCTTGATGTAATGTCTTTGTGATGTATTGTGTGATAAGGTCTTGTAAATAGGATGCAGTCTTTAAAAACTGCTGCCTCAGAGGTAGAAGAAAATCCCATTGATTCATTGTTAAACGTTAAGATTGGCAAAACAAAAGTGGATCAAAGAGCATCAATAAGGCAGTGAATTTGTTAAGAAAACAAGAGAACTGTGAAATAGAAGGGTCATGCTTAATAATGAATATAGGATTGAAACAAGCCAGGAATTGAGTAGAGAGTTGCAAGGTTGGATATCTATCCAGCAACACATGAGTAGGAGAACCTGGAAAAAAATCCAGCCACATTGGAAAGTTAATTTCACTAGCATTAAGCAAGACGTAACACACCAATTGTGAACCTGTCAGTATAACGTATTCAGTGCTATCTGTCTTGCTGTGTGCTCTTTTTCAGGTCTTTTTCAGCAGCATTCCACCATAAACTCAGTCCCTGACACCAATGCTATTGCATTAATTCAGATAAAAATCTCTAGAACTTCTTGACTTTGCTGTCTGCCTGTGCCAACTGGTATGTTTGCAACAAATGAAATTAATACTGCTTCTCTGCTTATGTTAATTTCTCAGGCCTGAAGAATGCATTTTGATCAGATAGTTCCTGGCTGATTGTGCTTTTAAAGAGCTTTCTCTGTGCCTGGTACATGTCCACACCAGCAGCATGCTTCTCTCTCTCTCCTGTTTCGTCTTTTTCTGTCTCTTTTTCTTTCATTTCTTTATCTTCTGACATCATTGGGAAGCCAAGCAGTGTGGGCTGGACATCAGCTGCAGTGGTGGTGTTGCCCAGAGCGAGGACTCCTGGCCACTCAAGGCCTGGAGCTTAGATTCGGCAGGTCTTTGGCTGCGATGGTGGCAGTGCCTGGAACAGGGATTCTTCGTGGTGGGTTGCAGCAGCAGAGGCGGTGCCAGGAGTAGGGAGCTGTGCTGGGATATGCCTGAAGTGTACATTCTTGGTGGCTTTGTTGTCACTGTACCCGGAGTGGGGACTCCTTGAGACCCGGGACACCTTGCAGAGCCCTCACAGAAGCCCTGGAGTTGTGTTTGAAAACCCCTCACACAGAAGATGAACTCTATTTATGTAATTTCTTTTTATTCTTCTTGTAACTCAAAATGGCACCGGATTGTGGTGACCAAGCACTTTTCACTCTCTTTCTAGATATTTGTGACAATAAACAACTCAATATCATTGCCCGTGCTGTGCAATGATGGGAAAACAAGTTGCATTCTGGTGTCTCACGTATAGTCCTCAAGGTCAGTTGGCAGTTGATGGTGGGAGAAGGAAGAGCAAGGAGCTGTGAGCCACTTCCTCACAGGGCAAGCTGCCTTTATTGTTTCTAATTAGTTAGTTGCAGAACAGCATTGTTAGTGTGCTGTAAACACACTAATTCTCAGTTAACTCTCAGTTCAGGAATTGTGGCATAAATTTTAACTCTCTCAAGAGCACATCCACTTTCCCTCGTTACTTTCGATGTGGCCACGTGCAGCTGCCAAGTTGGTGGCCCAGTGCAATTTGGCAGCTCTGAGTGACACTTCTGATGGTCGGAGGCCAGCCTGGCTAGGAAAAATATGTTGGACAGAATCCCAGAACTACAGCCAGATGTATAATTCGATTTATAGTCATTGCGGGTCTTAGCAAAAATTTGTACCACTTCATAAATCACTTAAAGTAATAACATTAATTGGTAAAACTATAAAAGGTGCAAACAAAGTATTGTGATTCATTATTATCGAAATAGAATACAAGAGCAGGGAGGTAATGTTAAAGTGAGTTCATTGGATTCTACTTTGAGCACTGTGTGGAATTCAGCTCTCCATATCACAGAAAAGGTTTTGAAGCAACGGAAAAATTATGAACAGGTATTTGGGGAAGTTGATAGATTGAAGAGGATGCAACTGAAAGGTTTGAGCAGACTGGGGCTCTTTTCTTTGGAAAAGAGAAGCCCTGATAGTGACCTCTCAAGCTAGCGAAAGGATTCAATAGGATAAATGTAGAGGAAAAGTTTCTACTTGGGTGGGGTATGGGATTGTGAACATAAGATAGCCACTGGCAAATAATAATAGGAGTAATTTCTTCACACAGTGTGTGCTGAGAATGTGGAATAGTTGAAACCAATGGCTTTGCATTCAAGTATAGGCTTGATGCATGATTTGGGGAGAAGGGAATAGAAGGACTGGAGAAAAGAATGGAAGGAGGATCGCATGTAGATTAAGGAGCAGCATGGACTAGTTGGACCAAATAGCCTGTTTGAGTGCTGCTGGCTGTTTGGGCTACATTTTCAAATACCAGTCAGGATAGGCACAGCTATGTCCTCTGCACTATCTTTAAAGCCTTAACAATCTTCTGAATGTACGGTGTTCAGAATTGATCACAATATTCCAGCTAAGGCTGAACTAATGTGGACATTGTAAGATCATTACTATGATATGAAATGATAACAAAGTCAGAAATTTGCAGCTGGTGCATTTGTATGGAAGTAACTTAGTCTATGCGCTAAACAGCTCAGGAGGGCCATGTATTGGTAAACTAAATTATTCTCTACCACCTAATAGGAAGACAAATTAGTTTCATTGGTGACTGCATCGCAGAGGGAAGGAGACGGATTTATTGATTTTTTTTTAATTTATAGGATGAGGGCAACACTGGCAGGGCCAGTATTTATTGCCCATCTCTGTCTTTCAGAAGATGGTTGTGAACTACCTTGTACTTGTGGAGCGGGTACTCCATTGTGCTATTAAGAAAGGAGTTCCAGGATTTTGACCCATCAAAAGTGGAGGAACAGTGATAACAGTTCTAAATCAGGATGTAGCATGCAAGAAAATTTGCAGAA